AATTTTTTTTTTTTTTTTTTTTTTATGTTTTAAGAGACATCAGCATAGCCGGTTCACTAGAGCTACATGGAGGAGTACTACAACTAAAGTTGCGAAAATGCACTCCTACCGTTGAGCGACAACTAACCAAGCACCTACTCTAATTATTAGAAGTAATTGGATGTACAGTCGCGTCAGAAAGTAATGCCCGATTTGAAAATGAAGACAAATACAAATATATTTGTATTTTTTCACCAGTATAAACATTAGTAAAAAATTTATATCTAGTTCGCTTCTCATACTACATTAAATTTTCACAATCCCAGGGTGGCAGCCTTCCCAAAAACAGAACTATTTAAATTTTCATTTTTTCTTCAGTCCAGCTTTAAGTTCGCCTACAGCTCTTGGGAGGAGGTCACACTTCTGGATAATATATTGGTTCGTTTCTAATTGTTCTCTACTTTGTTTAAACCAAATTAAATTGTTGGCAAATCAGTAGTTGCAATTTTATTTAATTTTAGCTGATTTTTGCTTAAATATGAAATTTATAATTATCTTGCCACTTGTGATTATCTTGGCATCCAGTGATCCGAATTTAGCAAATAAGGACTCATTGGATTCGTCTCGTCAAGACGAATTGAATAGTGGTCGGTTCATATCTCTAGGATCGATATATGCCAAGATATATATTAAAATATATTATAGACATTTTGGCCATTATCTCGTAATATATCGATGTTATACACATGAGCTGGCCACCATTCGATGCGTCTTGACGAGACTAATCCAATGAGCCTTTGATTATCAAAATCGGATCACTGAATAGTGAGCTATTCCCGATTTTATGAAACCCAGAGTTTCAAAAAATTTTCAGGTAAAGTATGTTTGGAGGTATATCTCGGCATCTATTGGACCTAGAGACATGATTCAACTAACATTGGACTCGTCTTGGTGAGGTGAATCCAATAAGCCTTAATTTGTCAAACTCTGATCACTGGATGCTGGGATAACCATAGTGGTAAATAATTATAACCTCCACTTGTAAGTAATTGGGCAACACTTTCCGACGCGACTGTACATTCCCCCTACCCCCTATATACCACACTGGGAAGACGACCCAAATTTATACCCACACAAGGATGGATCGTAGTGTAGCAGGGTTTCTGACACAGTTATACTACCTACTAGCGCCCGTCAGAAGTGAGCAACCACCCACGTACGGCAAATATAACAGAGCAGACATCTAGAAGTTCTTTCATAATGGTTAGTTTAGAGGTACTGCAATACTAAGACTACTAATATGGCCTCACTCAAAGCCCACTACAGGCCGTGATTACCATACCAGCCCACCATAGTTGTAAATTCTCCAGTAGTAATAGTAGTGACTACCAGGACAGTAAGCTGCTAAGGGTACTGGGATTACCCCTTTATTATAAGTAACCAACCCAGTTATCCAGGAATCACCCACCAGTACGTCAAATTCACTGAGAAATCGAATCTCACCTTAGAACCTTATATACCTGTGAGCCTACGAACGTCTTCAATCAGCCTTAACCTATTAGAAGGTAAACTACTGCTAAGACATTGCACTTGAGATTTTACCATCTATGAGGACCATCTAGCATAGTAAACCCCCACAGTAAAGTTTACCACACCCTTAGTGGTATCGTAGAGTGACCACCAAAATAAGAGCTCACCCAGATGGTATGCAAGCAGTGACCATCCAGACAGGACAATAGGCTTCCCAATGGCCTCATAGGGAACGCTAGGAGAACACCATGACCCTTTGTTGAAATATGCCGCCGACTGGTACATACTAATTCACCATGATGCAGTCCAGCCTACACTAATCCCTGTACCTTCACACTATTGGTAGTAGTGTCTGCAGTAAAATTCTTTTAATTTCTGTGATCGGTGGAATCGAACCTGCGACCTCACCATACTCAGGCTTCACGAGAGGATTCACGAACTAATCAATGAGCCAAGGGTGATCAACCTAAAAAGTTAATAAAAATATAGTATTTCAATTTACTTTATAGCAAAGTTATTCTAAACTTTTTCTTATAGTTTTTTTTAGAATTTTTGAGAAAAGAATTATAATAATGAATTATCAGTCAATCATGTGACACTTAAAGGTGGGGACGGACATTTGACGTTGATGTCAGTGGAAAATTTGGTCATCGGAAAAAGTGACGGATTCCGGCTAAAGTCACGTGTGCAGAATAAACCAATAAGAAATTCTTTTCTAAATCGCATATTCGTGTAACATTATTTTGGACGCAATAATCCTATTTTTGGAATTCCGTGGTCTTTCAAAATTTACATCTACCGAACGAAAACTTTGAAAAGAAAAACCTATAAAGCAGTGATCGTCTGAATTTGGTATTGATCCTTGACCTTTTTTTTAATAAAAGGAATTTTGTAGGACTAATTTTTTAAAAACAATGTTTATTTCGAAAATGGTTTCGTGAGCACTTATCATTTATTACTAAAAACAGTTATTCTCTTAGGCTTGATTATACGGGCTTAATAGGTCAAACAATACGCAATATTTCTTGACGTTATAATATGGAACAGCTTCAAACAGACAAGATTAATGAGCTCCGTCGAGAGTTGACTCTTACCAGGGCTTCATTCGGTATAGTTTTAATATTTTCTTCGAGTGAATTTTGCTTTAAACATATATTTATTGTTTATTACTATTAGAACAAAAGTTAAACGATGCAGAAAACAAGATACGGGAATTTAAAAAGATAGGCGAAGATCGAAAGCGTCTTATAGATGAAAACAAAGAAGCTCTAACATCAATCGGTAATAGTTTTTATAACAATTCTTTTTTCCTAAAGTGCTAAAGTTTAGCGTTCCCTTTATGTCTTAAATGCCGTATCTTCAAATAATGAATTTAACTAGTTCTATTTTATGGATAAAATACATCATATTTTATCAAATTATTTGAATACAATTCTTATTTATATGGATACTAATTTCTATCCAATATTTAATAATACTCCTTAAAGAACAAGAAAATAATCAATTAAAAGACGAAAACAAAAAAATGAAGGAAGAGCTAGAGAAAACACTTTATGAATGTGCACATCAAGAAAAATTGCTAGAGCAAGAACGACAGAGTCGTATATCTCTTGAGACAGCCAAAGTCCAAGAAATGACACAAGCGAAGGGTGATTATTTAATTTTGAAGAGAGAAGCTTTTTTAAAGTCTGGATGTTTAATATCGGTTATTTAATTTATCTACAGATGCATATGAAAAAATGTCTGCCTTGAGACAACAACACCATAGTCAGATACAAAAGTTAGAGAATGATCTTCAAGAAAGTAGGAGTAATGAATATCAATTACAGGTAATAAATTTATTGTATACTTCTTTCCTATCAATTGAAAACTAATTTTATAATATATATGTAGCATAAATTTAAGTTGTTGGAGTTCGAAAAAGATTCATATGTGAAACGATGCGCGTCATTGGAGAAAGACGTAGATCAATGGCAAAGTCTAGCCAAATCTACTCTAGAAGATAAGGTAGCATTTATGAAAAAAGTAATATATTACGACTTGTCAATATTTAATAGTATTACATAACTTGTTTAGAATGTAGAAGTCGAAAAACTCAATAGAGATCTTCAATCTGCAACGATAGAGCTTGAAAAATATAAACAATCATCTCAAAGTTATGAACGCGCTTATAAAGAACAACTCATTGTTGCTCAAAAAGCGAATTCAGATAGAGATGAAATGAGTCAATATCATCGTGAACAAGTGAAACTTTTGAATGTCGAAATAGAAAACGCGCAACGCTTAATACATGTTCATGAAAAGCGCGACGAGGAAAATCAAAAAATTATATCAGAAACTAAAGGTAAATTTATCAGTTTCAGAAGAAATTTAAATAGGCATTATGTAATAAATTTAAAATAATATGTTTTTCACAACATAGGAGTTGTTGATGATCTAAATAATACTCTATTGGAAACTAATGCAAAGTTAGAAGAGGTAGAATATGTTTATTGATATTCGCATAAATTTAAAACGGTTTGATTTTAATTATATGTCCGAAATTTTAGTCGATTAATGAGAATCAACATTTACGAAACGAGATTCAAAGACTTGAAGAAGAGAATCGTCAATTGAATGATATATCTGCAATTTCTGATACTACTCCAATGGGAGCTGTAAATCTTGCATTACAAAAAAAAGGAAAATCTATAATTCAATTGGTAAATGTTAAAATGTATGAATTTATCTCGTCGGTGATCTAACGAAATTTAAATTTTATTTAGTACTCTGAATACTCTAAACTTCAAGATCAGCTCATAATCGAAGAGAAGAAAAATTATGAACTCTTACAACTTTTAAATTCGTTCAACCATGAAATCGGACAATTTGTAAGTACGATAATTGTAATCCATGTTGTATTTCCTAAATTTTTTTTATTAAACACGCGATTTTTATTATTTAAGTCACCCGTTATTAACGAAAAAAATGAAGAATTTGATAGAATAGTCAAGGAGTACAAGCAAATGTCTGAGCAACTTTCAGAACGTGATAAGGAAATCGAAAAAGTTAGAGCATCTGTAAGTTACAATGTCTTTTATAAGATGTTTTAATAAAAAAAAAAATCGATTTTTTAAAATTAATTATATTAATTCTAGTTAAAAATCTCGAGATCAGAAAATCAGGAACTTAACGAACGAATTATGGAACTTCAAGAGGGTGATTTTTAGTTGTATATTTCATAATTTTTATTATGATCATTTATAATAATTTTATTTTCAATTTATTTCATTATTTAGAGAAAGAATTTTGTGTTAAGCATAATACGTCACTGTTAGAAGAACTAGATAAGCTTCGTAAAGAAGGTTCAACTAATCTTGATGCAAATATTAGCAAAGATGAATCAACTAAATCTATCGATTTAGATTCATTATATTCGCGTAACCTTCACCTGGAAGCTGAGAAAACAGTAATGATTAGGAGGATGCAAAGTTATCAAAACATGATAAACGAGTTAGAAGCTCAAATATCTCTTAAGAGTACCGAGAATAAAAATGCGGTAGGAGAAGTTACTCGACTTCAACACCGCCTAAAGCAATATCAGACGCAAATTGATACACTTGAGCGTGAAAGAGAATTGGTTTCACGTAAACGTTACAGTTTGTCAAGTGACTCTACACCTCAAGCAAATATTTCCCCCACTTCAAGACAACTTGATTTTCAAGCAGAGAATGTAGACTTAAAGGTACTTTCGATTAAATTATTTACGTAATTAATACTTAGCTAATTAAATAATTTTACTGTAGAATCGCCTTGATATTGCTACTGATGAATTAAAAAATTATGACGAGAAGTTGCGAAAAACAAATCAAGAGTTGAATGCACTTCGTCACGAGAAGATTCAATTTACATATGATAAACAGCACTTGGAAGGTACACCTAATTTTTCATCCCGAGTTAAAAATATCAATTATTTGGCTTTATAAAAACGATTAACGTTTCATATAACACTAATTAGAACGATACAAGATTCTCGATAATCATTTCAATATCAAGAATGATGAAAATAGGTCCAATAAGGAGTTATTACGTCAGGTTCAAAAGATAAATGAACAATTGGAAAAACAAGCTAGACAGGTGGATATTTACTTATATAATTGTTTAAAAATTTACGTCCTTCGCATTATTAGTATTTTCTAACGATTCTTGTTGCAGGCTGATAATGAAAGGATAATTTCATCTCAAGAACTCAAAACATTGCAAAATGAGTATAACACTCGTAAAGATGAATGGGAACAGCTACAACGCAAATTTAATAAAGAAATGGACGAGCTCATGGCTGATAAACAGAAAGCAGAAATTACTGCTCAAGGCTTACAACAATTATCAGAAGAAAAACAACGTCTGGAAAATGAATTTAAAGAGACCCAAGAGAAACTATTAGCATCACAGGTTAAACTTGATAGACTGAATGCACAGCATGAAGAATTATCTGAGAAATATTCTTCTGTATTAACCAAATCAGCTGAAGATAAGAACAAGCTCACAGATGAAAATGCGGCGCTACAAAATAAGTTAAATTCGTTAGAGGCTGATCATCGAAAATTGAATGATCATATTGATTCACTAAATAAAGAAATTCAAGAGTATAAGGATAAGGTGAATCTTTTAGAGACACAAGATCAAGGAATCGCAATCGCTCAATTACGGTAAATTTATTAAATAATATACTTTTAGTGTTCGACGCTTTATTTTTACATTTTAATAATTTATATGCAGGAAAGAACTCGATCTTCTCAAAAAAGAAAATGAAGAGTTACGAAAAGACTATGAAACGTACAAGGATTTGGCGGAATTAAGGGAAAAATCTTTAGAAGATAATCAGAGATTATATCTTGAATTGAAATCCGCTACAGATCAAGAAAGAAAAGATAATAATGTAAAGTTATTTTTCTTTTAATAAAAAGAAGACATTATGTTTTAAAATTCATTGTAATTAATATTGGGTATGTTATAGAACACGATAAAATTGCTTCAAGAAGAGCTGCAAAAGAATAAGGATGAACTTAAATTGAAGGAAGACAATCTTAATTCAAATCTAAAGGATCTTTCTGATGCTCTTGACAAATTGAGTGCTTCTCAACAGGCATTAGATGAAATTATGACGAATTCAGCTGCCAAAGACAAACAGTATAGTGAAGAAACGAAGAGACGGGAAACTTTGTTGGAAGAATCACAACAAAATTATAATAGAGAGCTTGCAGCTCATGCTGCCGCTGTACAATCTTTGAATGATATACAACAACTGCATAAAGTGCTACAGGAAGAATTTAATCAATTTAAGGTAGTAGCTCGGAAATAGTTATTTGCGATATAATTTACATTCATACTGAGTTTATACTATTAATTTACTAGATTAAAGCTCAACAAACGGAATCTTCCTTGAATGATGAAAGAGTGCGGTTTGAAAAAGAATTAGCAGAATTCCAACAAAAGTAAATTAATTATTCGTTATGATAATGATATTTTCTATTGTATCATATTTTGAATATTTCTCTCTAATATCATTTATAGATGTAAGGATTTCGAAGAAGATAACAAAGTTCTTCGCAATTATTTCAACAATACACCTACAGACATGACTGCGCAGAATCAAGTAATATCTTTGCTACGAAGCGACCAACAGAAGGCGGAAGCAGAAAAGGACTATTATGCAAAACAGGCTGAAAGGTATAAAGCACAGTTAGAACAAACTCAAAAGAATTATGATGAAATTCAAGTCTTACTTCTTAAGGTTTTTATTTCTTTTTAATTTCTTAACTTCAATTTTTGATGGATAATTTAATCTTATTTTATTACATTGATATAGGAACGAGCAGAAAAGGCCGCACCTGATCAACAACTTACTAATGAACTACTAGAAGCGCAAAAGTTATCAAAAATTCTTGATGAAAGCAATCAGACCCTACGAAACGAAAAAGAAAATTTAGATAAGAAGATGGTTGAATTAGAGTCTTCAATAAAAATATCCGATGAGAAAAACAATTCTCTTGAAGGTTAGTATTTGCATTATATTTAATAGCTTTATAATCATACTAAAAATATTTTCGAATGAAGACGAAATCCGAACTTTGAAAGTTGATCTTAGCACTTATCAACAAGAAATAAACCTTCTTAAAGATGACAACAATAAATGGAGAGACAGATTCCAAACTGTGCTCAACAAATATGGTGTAAGTGTTTCATTAATAATTATTTTTATATATAAATAATTGCTAATTTAGCTTTCCATTAAATTATTAATAGATCAATGATCCTACTGAACTACAACAATTACAAGATAATTTAAAATCTGTTACGGAGAATCTGAAAGTCATTACAGAGGAACGCGACAGAATGAAGTCCGAAATTGATAGGTTAAATGCGGATATTGATTCTCATAAAAAACAGATAAATGATCTCAAAAGTACATCTGACAGTGCCACCAAGTCTAATCATACTCTTAAAGCTCAGGTAATTTTAAGTGAATAATGGTTTTTTTCATGTTTCATTATTTTAAGATTTTGTAAAATATTTGTAGTTCGATAACCTGAAGATATCAGCAATGAAATTCAAAACTGATAGAGATAATTATAAGACAAAAATTGAACAGATGGAGAAGGAGAATACGCAATTTAAACAAGAGAATGCACAATCAAAGATGGAGAATACAAAATTAAGAGAATCACTCGAAGGGCAAAAGAAAAAATTTCAAGGACATGTGCAGAATATGCAACGAACGCTGCAACAAAAAGCTACAAGCCAACTTCAAGTTTATCAGGAACAATCAAAGAAAGAAATTGAAGAATTGAAGAAACAAATTGAGGAGTTGAAGAAACAAAACGAAGAGAAGACAAAACAAGTTGAGGAGAAGACAAAACAAGTTGAGGAGAAGACAAAACAAGTTGAGGAGAAGACAAAACAAGTTGAAGAAGCTTTAGAAAAGGAACCAGAATTATTGAGAATAAAAGCGCAAGAGTCTATGTATAAGAGTAAAATTAGTAGATTGGAGACTGAGAATACCGAGTTAAAGCAAAAATTTCAATCTTCGTCAGAAAGTTCGTTGAAAGAAGTAGTCGCTAGTCAACCTACAGCTGAAACTATAGCAAAAGATACGGCAGTAAAGACGGAAGAATTTTTGCAATCATTATTGCCTATGACATCTGTTTCATCGTTAATTCCAACGACTACTAATTTACCTGGCGTAACTTCAACTGTACATAATGATTCAAACACTACAACTTCACCCGGAAGTCCATTTCAAGCTGTGCAAGAACTACATAATGATGCACAAGAAAACGTTTTACAACCGCCAGTTATGCAACAAATAACAGTTCAACCTGCTGCTACTGCTGCTAGTAGTGGTGATGGTCCGAATATGACAGGCGCATCAGTTTCAGTTAGATTACCCGGCAGTAATACTGGACAAATTCAAAATGCACCGAGAGAGAAGCCACCTGTTAAAATTCAAAGACATCGTGGGCCATTAGTGCTTCCAAGTTCGCCTCGGGGTCCGTCTCAGGTAGCTTCGCCTACGCCCACTGTCGAAGAACAGCCGTTGAATCAGTCTCAAACTGTATCAGATACAGAAAAAGTTGTTCAACCATCCGAAGTAACGGAAGCAATAGCAATAACTGTTCAGCCCGCTCAAGAAGTACCAAATGAAATTCAGCCTGAGAACGAACCATTAACTTCTGTATTAGAGGAAACTCCAGCTGAAGCTACGGTTCGTAAGCGTTCTTGGGATGAAGTTGAAACACAAGAAGAATCTCTTGGTTAGTCATCACTAAATATCATTCATTATCTTATTTATATAGAATTGTCTGATTAACTCTCTTTTATTTTTCTTTACAGCATCCACTTCAGCTGTACAAGTTGAAGATTTTGATATTACAATTCCCTCAAATATTGCTGATGGAGGTGATGAGGAAGAAGTGAAGGGTGACGCCGTCGCCAACTCTCCAACCACGAATGATGATGTTGCGGGATTTCCAGCAACAAAAAAGATTAAGGTTGAAGAAGAATAATTAATTAATAATATTTAATTAAAAAATTAGATTTTTCGATAACTGATTTTATAATCTTCGCAATATGTTATGTATAATATACAAATTTTTACAGCGTGTGTAATGAGTGATCGAGTTACACGTTCTTAAAGTAGTAATATTGATTATCAAGTGATAATTTGAGTACATTTTTCCCGAGTATTTTCTTTCTGAAAATAAAAAGTAACCCTTTATTCCATATTAGTATTTTTACAGATTATAGACAATATTTATTGAAAATTTTTAATAAATTACAATTTTTAACAGTACAAGAATGTTAGTTTTAACAGCATTTGCAGGAGCTGTTTTAAAAGGATTTAAAGGATTTCCGGTAATTTATGCGGAGGAAAACCCTGCTAAAAAGGTAAACACTAAATTTTCTTTACTTAAAAAAAGCTTTGCTTTTGAGTAAACAACCATATTTTATTTTTTAGAAGTTAAGTATTTATGATGAGCCTAAACCCGATATAATTTTAGTAGAATCACCAACAAGATTAGAAAAAGAAATTAGACAAACTAGAATTCAAGTTATTAAAGCTGCTCGTGACTTTGAAGTAAGTAAACTTTTAAAATGAATTGTTTTTATATTGATGGTAATATTATACATTATTTGAACAAAGCAACAAATTCATGGAGTAGCTAATAAATGGATCGCTATTGAACAAGATACTGAAAGTAAGTTTAAAAAATTTTATTCGATAAAAAATTTTTTTACTTATTATTTAATTTATTTAGAAACAATAAAAGAGATTGTTGCGCAAGATGAACGATTAATGCCAGGGGCATTATATATCTCGGTAGCAGGTTTAGCAGGAACCATTATAGCGAGAAATCGTATGTGTTTAATAATTATCTTTTCAATAAAATTATTTATCTTATATAGTGTATTTTTTTAGGTAATGTTTTACTCCGAATTGCAAGTCCATTATTTTTTACCATTGCTTCTTCATATTATTTTTTACCAAAAACATCACATAATATTTTAAAAAAAATTCAAGAATACGAACAAAAATCCCCAAAATTATTGAAAGTTCATTATTCTATTTCTGAAGTAGCTAGCGACACTAAACAAAAAGTTGATTCGGTCATTGCTGATTTAAAAAATAATAATAATAAATCAAAATAAAAAAAATAAAAGAATATATTTTAATAAAAAAGTTATTAATTCAATAAATATTAATTTTACTTGATTAATAAATATTAGTAAATTATCAATATAATAATGGTTACGAAATGTTTCATTTTAATTCTCTTTTTTATTTCCATCTTCATATATTTCTTCTTCGTCGCCATCTTCAACTGTTGTACGAAGATCTCTATTAGGATTTTGACTTCCACCAGCTTCGTCTTCATCTTCATGAACTTTATCTTTTTTCTTTGGAACTTCCCAAGCCCAAAGTGGAATAAAGCTATCTATGAATCCAACATCTTCAAATAAGTTGGGGAATAACCATATTCCAGGAGGAATTATAATCATTGTAATAATAAATAAGATTAGTCTTATAACTGCTAGAGCCATAAATACTCCAAAAAGACTCAAAATAGCTACAGAAAGGTACCAAACAGTATCTCTCAGTATAGGTGGCCAAAGAGGGAATAATACAGCAGCAAAAACAATCGATATTAATCCAATTCCTCCCAATATTGTCATTAATTGTGATCCTTCATAAAACCATACGTAATATTGATCTTTTCCCCAACTTTGAGTTGATGTTACATTTAAACTTTTGTTACGTGATCCGTTCTCACTTCCGGAACGTTCGACACGCAAGAAAAAAGCGTGTCTTAGGACTTCTTGTAAAACTTCACAGGCCTCATTTTCACTAGTAACTTTTGGAACTTCCTTAAGTTTACCATAGGATTCTTTAAGAAGAGCTTTCACTGCAGATTTGCCTAAATAAAAAAAATTAGTTTCCTAAATCCTAAAGAAAGATTACTCATCACCTTTTTTTAAAAATACCTTTAAAATAGTCGACTCTTTTCCCATTTAGAACTCCTTGTCTATTTTTTAAACCAGAACTAGAAGATCTCAAATACTTAGCAACATTTAAGATGGGCCGAGGGGCTTCTGTCCGTTTTTCCATGTAATTTTTATAGCTTTTAATTTATGTCTATCGAAAGAAAGCTTTAGAAATGCACACTATTTATACAATATTACTTGTATCTGTAACCAATCAGACGCGGCCACATCAGAATATTTTTTCGTTGCTGACGTTGTGGCGCAACAAATAATAATGAAGATCATACGGGTAAATAAAAATCACGACGTTTTTTTTGTACTACTTTTCGATTCTTGTATCAAGTTTTCTATGTAGTCGTTACTCGTTACTGACACTGTTTTCACCGTTAATAAAATAGAAATTATTAAATATTGTTCAGTAAAGTTAAAACTACTTGTATATTAACTTTTGAAGAAGCACGAATAATAGCTGAAAATTTTTACAATCGATGTATATATTAGCATTAATAGTTTACAATAATCCGGTTTTTTCCGATTTTACAATTTTTATAGTACTATTTTAGACCTGCCGCACATGTTAGTTAAGATCCTTTTGCAGTTACGTAACGCGTAAGTGATAAAGGTTTTTCGACTTTAACCTCCGAAAATTTTTTACACCTGAAAAAGTAAAGTATGGACAGTAAAGAACGATATAGCCATAAAGAAGTATATGATACAACTACATCTAAAGATAATTTTCAGTTTTCTGAAACCGAAGAAACACATCATTCTATAAATAATCCTGATTTAATAGTGGGTCGATATTTAATATATGACTCAAGAACTAGGCGTTGTTATGCTAGAAATAATTCGTCGATTGAAATAACTACACCAAGAGACGGGAATCATATATCAAAAATGGTAGATGCTATTTTAGGATGCGCGTCTCCGAATTCAGTGAAAGAAGTTATTGGTCGTTCATTATTGTCGCGACCACGTATTCCATCACCTGAACCTTCACTTATACCACCACCTCCGCCCTATCCGCCATCAGTCGTGTCCGTGTTTCCACCCAATTCTCCACCACCATATCTACTTGAGTCACCCTTAACACCAAAAGAGCCACGGCAAGCGATGCAAGCTACACCAATCAGTACACCACGACAGCGGAATCAAAATATATTAACAGATAATAATAGTCCACCATATTCTCCGTTTCCAGATTCATATTTTGCTCAGTTTGATGTACTTAGTCCACCGGTTTCCATTTCACCAATATCCAATTCTTATTATTCGGATGACTCAGAACTTCTTTATGCCTCCGCTTATAACTCACCGACAACGCCAAGAAAAAATAAGTGATCCACTTGTAACAATTACTTAATGCAACTAGAACGCGTCAAAGAATAAACTTTATTACAATAAAATTTAAATGTTGAGAGAAAATGTTTTTATCTTTTTATCAACTGAAAAACTAATTATTGAAATTTATGTAATAGTTATTATATTTAATTCGGGATGTTCTTTCCAAAATTTATTTTGAATTATATCTACATGCAATATCGTGACAATTTTCTTCTTTCTAATAACTTCAACGCCTTTTTGGTTAAGAGTCTTAAAATCAATCTACATATAAAAGTTTAGTAATCAGTACAATAACGTAAATTAGAATTAATCGAATTAATCACGATTTTATTACCTCTTGTTTAACTAGTACAGAGCCTTTCCGATACATTTCCGGTATATTGTTGTAATTTATATTAAACAATGAATGAAGCAATTCATTTTTATCGGAAGATAATGTGCCCTAAATTTTATTCAATAAATAAGTATTATAACTTAAAAATATAAATGTTTCAAAATTACATTACTCTCAATATGTTCTCGGCTTCAGTTTCTGTTTTTCCAGAATGAACTAGTGCCCAAAAACAAGTATTATACAAATTATTTATATGACCTAATATAAAGAGATATGTAAGCAAATTGATTCATAACACAAACTATAAGTTTTATGAAAATGTTTACAATCTGCCTGCCGCCAACTCAAATAATCTCTTAAATTATTATCGGATGGATACTGAACTATACGACCATCAAATGATGGAGGATACTGTAATTCTTTATCAGCAAAATATGATTTCCAGAGAAATACGTAGTTGGATGTGAATAAACTAACTATTGTAGATAAAATCTTCCTATTTAAATTAGGAAATAAAATACGCGTAAAGCTTTTTTTAATTCAAGCTAAAGAAACTTAAATAACTAAAGTACATAAAATATGACTTACGCTTCTCGCCGACAATACAGATCACATTCTTTTTTTAATACGAAACTTTTAAATAAATAAATATATGATTAGGTTTCGTATAGAATTATGTCACTTCGACACTTTCACATTTACTACCTATATTCATCACTTTGCCCATAAGCGAGAATGATATCGTGTATTTCAGTCATTACAGTTTCAGCACATTTATTCATAAGATCTAAAGCGCGACGATCATTTGGTTTCTCAAATTGATGACGTTCCGAAAATCTAGTTTCATTAAGATAAAATTTATATTTCCAAAAACAAAATACATAATAATTTCGGGACATACTTATGAAAACCACGTCCATCTATACGGATGACAAGCCAAGTATTAGGAATTAAAGAATCATCCCTTTCAAATTGTTTGACGTATTCATATTTAGATTTTGCCATAGCTAATACCAGCTAAGACGCCTACAAATTTTAAAAAAGTAAGACACTCTTTGTCATAATAATAGTAATTAATTATAATAATAAGTAAAAGGCGATATTCAGATTCGCCTTTTTATCGTCTTCGGCCACAAACTAACTCGGTTGTCTTTAACGACAATTTAGTTCAAGAATAAATATTTGCAGTTTTGGTCTCTATTGCGATTACCAAAGATTTCATCACTATATCACCTTAGAATAGGAAAAAGTAATACTCACTTACCTTCGATTTCCTGAAAAAAAACAGAATAAACAGTTAAACACCCGAATTATAAATATGATGACGTCATCTTCAATACAAATATAAATGTTGATTATCGGAAATTAAACTTTTTGATTTCAAAAGGGCAAATGCATGATTTTATGGATTACTGCCTTCGTACATATTTCAAAACAATTGGTTGGAATGACGATAATCAATATTCTAACTTATGTTCAGCTTCACGAGGTAACATTTGTATTTTATCAAGCAGTTTCTATTTAAACGTATTTAAATTTACTTTCATTTAGCTATATTGGACTTTCAAACACCACGCGGCTTAACATTTGCAATATCTAAAATTCAATTTCCATTACTCAAGGCCTCATATTCAATGAACATTTCACCAATACTAAATGGATCATTGGGGTATCTATTTACATCACGACCATTAAAAGTTGATCCAAGTGAACATGTAAATTTTATAGAAATGATCGATAGATTTCATATTAATTATGTTCCGAAGAATTACCTCCATGGGAACTTTGATAATAGTGATAACTCTAAGATTAAAGGTAATTTTGGTTAATTTTATATTTAATGTATATGAATTCTGATAATATTTATCGTTCTTGTTTTTTTAGATTATTTACTTTATGGACGCTTATTTGTTCCAACTGGTCGTCTTGAAGCTATTTACTCTAGAAAATTTTCTCAATGGATGCAATGCGTCGTCACAGCTGTTAGTGATCCAAGATCAAAAGCAGCTTCACACGTAAAGTACATTTTACAGTTATTAATCCCCACTTTTCTCAGTTTATTTAATATCAAAGAAATTGATCTGTTTTAATTACTATAGGTTACTACAGAATTACAATATGATGTTGGACAATGGTGTACTGAATTGTCTTATACAACCGATGGAGAATTGTTCGGTGTAAGAGGATTATATAATTTTACAAATTACAATCAAGAAGAAATAAGTACGAATTCAAATAATGAAGAATCGATTGTACAGAATAAAATGAAAAAGAAAGTCAAAGATATCGAAACACCTTTAGTTGAAAGAAATGTGTTTGATGTACCATCCGAGTCTGAAGATGACGAAGAAGTAGAAGCACTGAAAGGAGAATGGTCTATTGGTGCTGAATTATATTATGGTATAAGAGAAAGAAGTGGTGGAGGTAACTCTTATCCAAAAAATAAAAAATACTTTTTATATATAAATTATTTCTAATTGAATTATTAAAAATTTTGCTAGTTTCCGCTGGGATACGTTATCGAACACTTCCACAATTTTCATCACAGTCTCCTCTTAGCGTAACTTACTTGATTAATCCAATTATGGGTCATATGTCAGCTGCATTTGCTGCGCAAGTATCTGATGACTTAGCATTATGCCCAAGATTTGATTTTAATATGTATAGCTATGAGAGCGATTTGATAATTGGTGCTGAATGGTGGCAAAGAGAAAAAAGTGACATTGAATGCGAAAATCAATCGAATGATGATACTGTTAATAAGATGGTTTTACAAGGTGAAGTGAATGGAATTGTAAAAGCTACAGTAGGAACTTCTAGAGGTGTCACTCTTTTATGGGAAGGAAGATATGGGAAAACGTTGTTTAGTTTAGGGTTAATAGCGGATTTAACTTCTAAAATATCACCTATACGGTCAATTGGATTACAATTTCAGTACTTTTCATAAGAGAAATAATTGGTCAACTATTTTATTTATAACAATCCGTGATATTAATTGCTGTGATGCTGTCCCTGATAGTGATCTTAGAGGCAAATTAATCTTTGTAAAATATAATTTATAAAAAGTAACTAAATTTTAGCTATAATACATGTGAACAAAATAAATAACAAATCAATTAATGTGAAAATATAATGAATACGCTATATATTAGAAGAAAAATCCCTCATGCGCCATTAAAATTACTTATATATGAAACGGGCTGCATATCAAGTTCTTAATTAATTCGTGTGATACAAGTAATTTTTACATATATTTAATAAATTGGCGCGTGAACGCGTTTTATAAAATTTTTCTTTTGCTGATACATTATTTAATTGATTAATAACAAGGAGAAGCTTTGAGCTGTTAATATATTTTTATAAAGGATGTCAGCAGATCTTCTTTCGGATACAAGTGATCTTTATTCACTATTTTCACTTACAGAAAAAGCCACACCGGAAGAAATTAAAAAGGCATATTACAAGTTAGCACTTCAATATCACCCAGATAAACAGATTTCTTCCACAGTAGAAGAACGAGAAAAGAAAACAAAAAAATTTCAAGCTTTAGGATTCGCCTATTCTATACTCAGTGATCCAAAAAAAAGAGAAAAGTATGACAGAACTGGAGAAACAGACGACCTACCTGGTATAGAGGACTTAGGAAAAGATGGCTGGGATGCCTTTTTCAAAGAGTTATGGTCTGGTATTGTTAACGCGAAGTCAATAGAAGAATTTAAAGAGAAATATCAAGGTACGTTTAATATTATGAATTGGCTGGTAGATGGTGTGTTTTTAAATAATTTATGTAATTTTAGGAACTGAAGAAGAACATAAAGATCTTATCGAAGCCTACAATAACTTTAAAGGTGACATGGATAAAATCATGGCCAACGTGCCAGGTTCTAGTGCAGATGATGAGCCACGATTCCGTGAAGTTCTTAAAGATGCTATAAAATCCAAGGAAATCCGGTCGTACAAAAAGTTTATAGAAACTTCTAATTCGTCATCTATGAATAGACGTAAAAAGGAAGCAGAACGTGAAGCTAAAGAAGCTGAAGAGATGGCGAAGAAATTTGGATTAGATAAAAAATTGTTGGGAAGTAACGAAGGCGAGGAAGAGCTAAAACAAATTATAGTTATGAAACAAAAGAAACGAATGAGCACGTTAGTTGAAAGTTTAGAAGCTAAATACGGTGGTAATGAAAGTAAGAAAGCGAAGACTACTGGCAAAGGAAAAAAGAACAAGAAAATGATAGAAGAGCCAACTGAAGAGGAATTCCAAGCAATACAAGAAAAAATCAAGGCAAAGAACAATAAGGCATAAGGTATTTTTATATTTGTTTATTTTTTTATTTCTAATTTTTGTAATAATATATTTCCTTTCTTTAGAAATGAATTTCGATCGATAGAATTATAGAATACTTATATATGGCTAATATATTATTGCGTTTTTGATTTTTCTTCATAATAATATAATTAGAAGCGTTATTCGTCTGATCTTTGAAATAAATGACTCGTAACATTCCATTGTTTAATTACTGGAGTTCTCATTGATCTATCATAGCCCAATACACACAACCCCTATTATAAACAAAGTTTTAGTATCAAAACTACAAAAGTGACTTTTACTTTTATGTTACTCACCGCGGTATCAACAATAAAATGTCTTCCAGATTCAGGTGGCATATTCAACCATCTACATGCCAAAATTCTCAATAAGTGAGAATGGGCAACGACAAGGACGTCACCACTTGGTGAACTGGGATTGTTGTCCATATGCTTTATTAAAAAAGAAATCGAAATCTTAAATAAACAAATGTTCATAATAAGCAAAAAAAAAAGATTAAATACGATTGATTATACATCATTCTGATGTGTCATAACTTTTGCAATCATGTGATCACATCGAGTGGCTACTTGTTGAATTGTTTCTCCATTGGGGCATCCATCTCTCCTTGTAAATTTAAAAAATTCAATAAGGTACGTACGTTTAATATAACTTAAGAAGAGCATCCTTTTAATCTTACCAAATATCCCAAAACGCATATTTAGTACTATGAATTTCATGTGTGGTGATTCCTTCATAATCACCATAATTCCATTCTGCTAAATTGGGGTCAGTGAAGGTGGGAATTTGATCTTTCTTAGGAAGAGTAATTAATCCGAGAGTTTGCTGAGCTCTTTTACGTGGAGAAACAAGGATTAGATCGATATTTGATGGATTAGTGAAATCTGTCCGGAATGAGATGTTTAATTAAGGAAATTTGAAAAATAATGAGATTGTAGGGAATAAACATTACCTTGACATTGGTTTTCAAAAACGAAACGAGATAGATCACGAGCTTGGGTAATACCGTGAGAAGTTAATTCTACTTCTGTTGTTGAGGTGTGTTGTCCAGTTTTTGACCACTCTGTTTCACCTACCATATCAAAAATAAAAATATTAGCAAATGATTCAGTATAAATTTACTTCACTTCGACGATATTACCATGACGAACAAGATATACTACGGGAAGTCTTAAAACCATAATCGATAATTGATGATAGGAAATCGACCTAACGAACGTTTATATATCATAGAACATCAAGTCGATCTCACCTAATTTGACGTTTAGGTGTATTATTAATCTGTCCAACACAGTTTGCTGACATATTTCCCGTTATCTAATGATTAATAATACCCATTTTTGTCTGAGCTATTCAATTTAACAAACCCAGTTTTTAATCAACAAATCAGTGTCATAACTTATCTTTTAAAAATCATGAATTTATCATTTGTACAAAACTATTATATAAAGTCTGCTTTGTTTTCATTAGCTTTTCATTATCGATTTTATAAAAGATTCCCCTCTATAAAAGTCAATGGTATAAGGGATATAATGGATGGCGTGAATAAAAATTTGGAATTTTTAAACCGCTCTAAAGATTGGAAAGTAATTAAAAATGAATCGCAAAAATTACAAAACGAATTACAGGTACAATAAGTTACTTTAAAAGAGTATATCTTTTTTAGATAGAGAAGATTAATTTTATATTTTAAAGTAAGTCAGAAACCTTATGGAAAAACTCGTCTATGGCTATAATTTTGCAGAAAAAATTCTCTATATTAAACGATCAAATTAAAAAATATGAACGATTAAATGAGAGAATTAAAGATGTCAATGAATTAGCGGGTGGGTTTTTTCAATATACTTTTTGAGTTTTGTTGAAAACGTACGTAAAAAATAAACATTTTTGATTGTTTAGAATTGGCTAACGAAGAAAATGATTTGGATTTAATGAATACGGTGGTAAATGATGTAAAACTTCTAGAAAAAGAGTTAAAGACTTTTACATCAACCTCGCTAATGTATGTAGTAATTATTTGTTAATTAATTAAATTTATTAACCTTTTGTTTGAAAAGGGTTGAAGAAGAGGATCAAAACGGATGCATAATACAAATTATACCTGGAGCTGGTGGAGCCGAAAGTTGTGATTGGTCCAATATATTACTAAAGATGTATGAAAAGTGGGGTATTAAAAATGAATATCAAGTTAAATTAATGGATTATGTTAAAGGAGAAACCTCTGGATGTAAATTAGCAACTTTAAAAATTGATGGAAAATACGCTTATGGATGGTGTAAGCATGAATCTGGAATTCATAGATTAGTTAGGATATCTCCTTTTGACTCTCAGAATAGAAGACATACATCATTTGCTTCCGTTACTGTGTTTCCGAATGTTAATGAAGACGATAACTCTGATAGAGTAAATATTATAATTCCTAGTTCTGATTTGAAGATTGAAGCATTTCGTTCAAGTGGACCTGGCGGACAACACGTTAATGTTACTGAAAGTGCTATTCGAATTACTCATATCCCAACTAAAATTGTTGTACAATGTCAATTTGGGAGATCTCAGCACACAAACAAAGCCTTAGCTATGACGATGCTTAAAGCTAAATTGTATGATAAAGCTATAAAAGAAAAGTAAGAGATATAATAAAAAATTTACTATTTTAACCTAAAACAGTAAATTTATTAAATTTTAATTTATAATTATAGACGAGATGCCAAACAAGAACAATATTCAGGCTTACCCAAGAATTCTTGGGGATCGCAAATTAGATCTTATTTCTTATATCCTCATCAGGTTTTTTTTTTTTTTTTTAAAAAAAAAAAAAAAATGTCTTTGTAAAATACTATTTTTTTTAATTAGCTTATTAAAGATGGCAGAACTGGACTTGAAACTAATAAAGTCGACGCAGTATTAAATGAGGGCGAATTAAATGAGTAAATAAGTTTAAATTTTTTTAAAATGTATAAGATTCTTATTAAATTTTCTTATTAAACTCTTAGATTTATGGAAGCATCATTAATCTATTACAACAAAAAAACCAATGACTTATTTATATAATAATAGCGGTTATAATATATTAAGTTTTTCCGCATAATGTGGATGTCCCTCTCTAATTTCTGACAAAGTGTTTTCTCTAATTTGTGTGTCTGCAAATAAAGCACAAATAAGTCCTTCCAATTCACCAGTTGTAAAACATACAAGCTCGCCATTACGAAATCTGCTCATAATTTTTGCTTGTGATAATTCAAGTATATCTGTCAATTGAAGAAATTTCGTCCAATTTTTTGTGTATTTTTCTATCGAATTTACCTGTCAAAAAAAGGTAATATTAGAAATTTAAAGAATGAACTTAATTTTTTAAAATCACGTACCCCTTTTTCATTAAATAAATTTTCTAGCTGAAATAACATTTTACAAATTAAATTTAATTGTTCTGACTCTACTTCAGATATATCATATAAGTCCTCAACGTAATCTGTCATACATGCTAATACAGAATCTATCAATTCGCCTAATACCGTATAATATTCCGTTGGACATAAAACATCCTACAAAGTTATTAGAACTAGAAATTACGTTTTCTTTGAATAAACAATAATCAAACTTGACTATTTACCTTCCAAATTTTAGATAAATGATTCATTGTATACAAAATTTGATTCATTGCACTTTGACATGCTTCAAATCTATCATCGTCTGCAATCTGTTGTACCCCATTCATTTCATCCAGAATTTCTTTAAGAACGCCTTTTTGTTTATCCTAAATAATGAAGAAATATTGAAATATTCTAAGAATTAAGTCAACAATTAAGAATTTGAATTTGAATTATCTATAACTTACAATTTGATTATCATACCATTCTTTACCTAATTCGCGTAATTCTTCAATGGTCTCGTTATATGAAATTTTACCTTTAATATCATCAGCTTGTTCAGAATCAAATGATAAACTATTTATGAATTGACTTTGCACAACTAGAAGCTGGTTTGCAAGCCATATACAATCATTCCTAAATAACATAGCTAAGGCAGGCACATTACTAAATGTGTTATAATGAAAAACTGGCATAATGGCACGATATAAATCAAAAAAATCAAGAGTTGCTTGATAAAGACGCACTCCGCTAATTATTATATTGTATAAACGTTAGTAACTTAATAAATATTAAAGTAGAGTACATGCATAATATAATAAACAAATACCTTTTAGAGTTTAAATTACACGCTTCGTTTAAAGTTTTTATGACCAAATTTATCAGAGGCTTTACTTTATTCGAGATGGAATATCGAACTAATTTCTTTTTCGTTGTAATCTGTTCACTCTTTATATTTTTATTAATTAAACTTTCACTTTTATTTTGTGGATCATCTGATTCATCCCAACTACCTTCATCCCATCCCTCATTCCAATCAACTTCCCAGCCATCATTAGGGATATCATTGTCATTTTGAATGGCAAATATATCCTTCTCCGCCACTTCTTTTTGTTTATTAATTTCACTAATGTTATTAGACTTAACTCCCTGTTCATCATTAAGAGAATCTTGTTCATTATAATCTAGTTCCGGTTCTTGTTCCTCGATAATCTCGCTCTCGAAATTTCCATCTAACATAATATTTCGTCCAAGCTCTAATAACTTATCACGTTTTTTAATCGTGAAATGAACATCAACTTTTGCCACATATGCTCCCAAAGTTCGTTCTTCTTCTTCCTCTGCATCTCGAGACTGACGCATAAATCCCATTTTGCGCATTTCGGCCTGGAAATCTCTTACATCATGTGCGATTTCATCAAATCTTTTGAATTCAAACGTTTCCGTAGGAATTACATGTGAAAGGTATTCACTAATAACGACATCACGTAAATCATGCGAAATAAATTTGCCAAAGGTGGAAGCATATTGAGTGGCAAGCGGTAATATTATAAATTCTTTGGAAGAAGGATCAAGACCGCCAAATATAAATGTATAAATGAACTTAAATATGGTAATGAGTGGCGTAAAAACTCTATCTAAGAATAAATATATAATTAATGAAAACGTATAAAATTATTTATTAAATACGACCTTTTTTCTAAAAAAAAATCACCTTTGTTTATATTCTTAACATTCGAATTTGGCCCAATAACCAAACGAGCCTTGATATTATCATCAACCTCTATGGAAGCATCCCATGATTCGCGATGTTTCAATAAAGGTACAATTAAATACTTCATTACATTCTTTTTTAATCTCGATAATTGCATATTAATTGAATCGATCTCATTAAGGGAAATAAACACTGATGTTAAGAGCGCTGTGGCGTTTGCTCCTAATTGATTCACGAGAAACAAAAGATTTTAACTTCGTTATATATGAAACAAGTAAATTTTTAAAAAGTTGTACTTACCTTCTATAGAAGACAATACGGTAAGACTAAATCCCTCCTCATCATCAACTTTCTTGAAAGAAATTGATTGCGTTAATAAATTATCAAGGGTTTGATCCAATGACTCTTTCATAATGGATAATTGGGACTAACAATTTCAAAATATAACCAAACAAATAAATTATATTTTTACAAATAGTATCAAATTACTGATCATCGGCTACTCGTAACAAACCTTCAGCTTATCAAAAATTTGAATTTTGCGCTCAGTTGTTATAGGAGGTGATTCTAACAAACTATCCTAAAGAAAATATGTATTAATTTTGAAAATATAATATAATACATAATAGCACCTATAGTCATTTCATACCATATATGTGATAGTACCAGAAGCTTCCTCAATACGACCTTGTGCTAAGTATTCTTGAAATCTTTTTACACAATTTTGTATCTTATCAATTGTAAACAAAATGTAGTTATTTATAATATAACCTGCAGCAATAAATAATCATTTTATTATATAAAGTACCTCATTTAAATATTCTAAAGCGTCCACCACTGATTTGGTATCCTTAACTTCCTGCATCACCATCCTATTCTCTTGTAATGCACTAACAAGTTTTGGTTTCATCCCAGTCTGTACTTAAAATAAAAAAAAAATTTAAAGACTAACATCCTGCTTAAAATTTTATAATTTATTTAAATAATAACCTCAGAATGATTTACTCCTCGAGAAACAATATCTAGTTCCATAAACAATGTATCAATCTTATCTCGCAATGAAATGGAATTATTATATAACTTAATAAAAGCATCTTGACGATCAAGAATTATTTGTAAAATTTCCGTCTAAAATAAATATACAAAGAAAATCAATTCCGTGAATAACGAACAAAAAAATAAATATCAGTAGTATAAAAGACTTATCGAACCTTTACACTTTGAATCTTCAAATCAATCTGTTGAATACAAGAAAAAGCTGTTTCTTTGTCAGCGGAAGAGGTCGCTAACAACGTATTCTGTTTGTCTTTAGCAGAATCAGTAAAGTCATTTTCTCGATTTCTCTCTAATATAGCTGATATAAAAGTTCCCGGAAGCGCTACTGCACTAACGGGTAATGGTGGCATTCTGTAGCTTGTTAGAGCAAATTACTAATTTATTTCTAAAATATACACTTCTTGTTAGGTTCCTTTTCCTTACCTTTGATAACGTAACTTTTCTAATCTTAGCCAGAATTATAAATTTAGTATCATGAATCATGATTTAACTGCTAAATATGTCACCGGCACGTGATCATGAAAAAAATGTAAATGAAGGTGAATTAATTTTTATACATATGTAAATAAAATTTTTTATATAATAAATAATCAAAACTTCTTTTTTCAAATATATTATTAAATCTATACAGATCAATTTTCATATAGATAAATTTATAGAAAAATTGTAAAATTGTATTTTTCATAATACTGATTTCCAAATTTTTTTGTTTATTTATCTGTTAGGCTGGACCAATTGGATAATGTGTTTAACGTAACATCTTGGCCAAAATTTAGAGGGGGGGAGAGGTAAATAATCAACACCAAATTTTGAACACCATATAAAAAATTTTGATGGCTAGTATAAGTATAAAAAAAAATAATTTTAAATTTATAAAAATGTAAATACACTACCTAGACAAAAGTAGCAGACCTTTTATTTTTGTTAATTACTCAAAATTATACATAATAATAATACTTGAAATTTTAATATGTGATAACATAGACTCTAAGGAACATATATTCAAAATTTCATAATTCTAACATTCATGCAACTATATTAATTAAAGAAACTTATAAAGGGAAATATTGACGATTATCTATAAAATTAAATAAATAGTCTGTTATTGCCTATTTATTTAGAATTTTGCATAATATTAATAACAGAAATTTTAATATGTAATAATACAGAATTTTGATTAATATATATACATTAAATTTCTTTATCTAGTTTTTGTTTTTATATGAATTATATAAAAAATTGAAAGAAAATTTAATTTTTAAAAACAGCAATACTGTATTTTCACATTCTCAAAATTTTACATAATAAAATACTTTAATTTATATATTGTTTGAAAGTTACAGTTCTGGAGAATAAATATTATATATAAATTTTTATAATTTATCTTTCAAATTAACAATTAACATCTTAAAAAATAAAAATCATTCACTTTTTTTTAATTTGACAATCATCAAGAATTTTTAATTTTTTTAATAAATACAGCTGTATGAAAATTAAAAGCATGAAAATTTGACTCTATGTTCTTTAAAGTCTATATTATTACATATTAAAATTTCAAGCATTATTATTTTATGTAATTTTAAGTAATTAACAAAAATAGAGGGTCCACTATTTTTGTCTAAGTAATGTAACAATTACTAAGCTTCTTTTTTTAATTAATATAGCTGTGTGAAAGTTAGAAGTGTGAAATTTTAAATATATATTCTTTGGAATTTACGTTATCACATATTAAAATTTCAAGTATTATTATTATGTACAATTTTGAGTAATTGACAAAAATAGAAGATCCTCTAACTTTTGTCTAGGTAATGTATTTGTATTATTTATATTTGTAATTGAATAAATACTTAAAAGAAAATTGGTAAATTTATTTGCATTGCAGATTCGTAAAATTATATTATTTAGTTTGATTTATGGTTTACATTAATATTACAATAAAATATTTATTGGTTATGCTTTCATTTTTTAGTTTGTATTGGCATTTGACAAAAAAAATCCAGCCCTTTATCTTGGCAACCTGCATATAAAGAGATTATTGATTTATATTTTTCCATTAGTGAATTCAGCTTGTCCTGTAAATCATCTGTTGATCCACAATGGTAGCACCAATCAGAATGGACTTTTCGACAAGAATAGTAAGTAAATTCCATTGGTGTTTTACAACAAATTTTCTCCTGAACAAACACTTTATCAAACAAGTTGTGATCCTGTAAAAAAATGGTAGATCCACATGTATAAGGCCAGTTCTCTATAGCATGTTGAATCTCAAGACCATCTTGTTCAATAAGCTGCCTCCCACTAAATAAGTAACGTACCTTTGAACATTCATTACAAGTTATGAATTTACGAACCTTGGTATTAATATACAATCCTGATGGTCCTCTTTCCGTACCAGTAGCAGCAATTTTTTTAGATGGTTGATGCTCATCAGTCATAGGTTTATTAATTATTATACACCATAGAAAAATTGGCATAATGATCAGAATCATAAGCTATATATTATTAGTTTAATATTCTGATTTGGTAATATTGAAATCAAATTGAATCGTACCTGCTGGCGTTAGGTCTGGAAGAAAATCAAGAGATTCAAAAACTTCTTGTAGTGTTCGTGGCATAGTACAAATTTCACATTCAATGTTGCCACAGTTTTTTATCTACCAAAACAATGTATTTTATACTACTCAAGTTAATGAATTTTAATAAATTGATGTTAATTAAAACTAAAATCAAATTATTGTAAATTTTGAATTCATAAACCTATAAATACATACTTGAAATGAATAAGTCCAAATTTAGCAATGTGTTTGAATAAAGTTTTGTAAATCAGAATGTTGCTGAAGTATTAATTGTGTAGTCTCATCATAACGCAAAGTTGAATCAATTGAAATAATTGCCTACAATAAAAGATTATAATAAGCTATTTGAGTTTAACAAAAAAATTATTTAATTCTAAAATTACCTCAAAAAATCGTGCAATTTCTTCATCATCTGCAAGACTTTTACATATAAAATTTTTGTTATCTAATACCAATCTTTCTGTTCACCTATTTAGAAGCTGCTGAATAGATTTAATTGAATTTCTAAGTTCACTTTCTAATTGTGAATTGTTTTTAGCAACTAAACGAATTTCTTCTAGTGTATTTTTTCTAGAAAACAAATCTTCCATTTCGTTACTCATCAGATCTCTAAGGAGAGCCACGTCTTGTAAACCAAGATTTTAAAATTGACATTATTCTTTCAGCTGAATTTGTCCAACTTTGTGCTGGGGCTGTTCTCATTGCTATTAACATATCAAAATTACCACGAATAAACAAACACAGAAGAGACACTTGAACAGATCCATAGGTTATTCGATGGTCAGGCCCTCTATCAGTATAAAGATCATACATGATAGGTGGAATTTCAGTAGAATTAAGATAGTGATCAGAAAGTATAGAAAAGAATTCTGTGGAATGGCGAATTCCAGAACTAGGTTTAAAAACTGTGTTTTTGTATGAAGTATAGACTTTTCCATGGTAAAATAATTCTGAAATAGAGGCAGGTATCTTACATAAAAGTATTACTGAAGGTATCAAGGATAATTTTGTAAAGTCATGATCACTTGCTGCCAAAATTGTGTTATCAGGTATCAATGATTTCCTATTACGAACTCCAGTTGAGATAGCAACTTCTTCACCAATTACTACTTTGTACTTGTCATCAGCACAAATAAACACTGTGTACTTTCAATACTTAATAGCAAATTCACGTAAATAACGAAAATATCCAGCACAATAATGACTGTCTGGATGATCTTTTCTTAACAGACGTGCTTGAACTTTATATCTGATATTAAATCTTCCAGTATAATTAATTACTGAATGTGCTAGAGTATTTTTTGGAGTGAATTGAACACGAATCCACTCATCACTAGGAATGTTGGTTTCTGAAGGAAGAGGATTTCCAAGCCTGGTTTGCAATCGGGATATTATTGATTCTCGCAAATCTCTAATTGACAGAACTATTGGTATATAAAGAGTAGAACCATGACGCCTATCATCTACAGCAGGTGTATTCTACATAAATTAAACATTAATAGAAATATGCAATTAGTGTGTATGTAATAAAGTTGTAATTTAATATGAATTACCTCATTAAAGTAAGAATCAACTTCTTCCCAAAAAATATCAAATGATGTTCCTTTGAATCCATTATTAATTCTTAAGTCCACTGTAATATTAGAATCCTGTAGTGTTAATATCCATCAGAGTCTTTCATCTAATTCTTTTGTGATATTATTTGGTGCTATTGTTGCATCACCAGTTAAATCATGATATAAATTACGCAATAAAACTGGAGTAACTTTAGCAACTAACGAATATTAAAAATAAAATGTTTACATTAAAAAATGATGAAAATGATGGACATATTGATTGAGTTGTTGGCTAAATTTACCCTTTCAAGCATATTTTTTCACATTTGACGTGTAAAATAATGAGGTATAAGGTCTTGTATAAATAATAATGTTTGTGCATTTTGTGTTTCTGTACGATCATTAACTTCAATTGGTATTTTCCATATAAAAGTTGTAGTTCCAAGATAATTACCAGCATGATACTGATAAAAACCTATTGGGAATATCAATTCTAAATTCTTTATAAACCGATACCTTTTCATTCCTGGTTCTGGAAGATATCTTTCAATATTAATATATTTATAATTCTCCAAATTTGAAATCACAAAATTTAAGTCATCATAGATAGAATCTGATTGGTTACAAGCTTCAATAATTTTAACCATAATATTTTCTATCCCATTCTATGCTGGTTCTAATGATTTATGTAATTTATTCATTGAATTATTGACTTGTTCAAGATAAACCATATATTTTTTAACCATTTCTATTAGCTTATACAAATCTTCTATTAATAAAGCTCAAAGAGTATCTTGTGTCCAAGGTTGTGCAAGGCTAAGTTTAAAAGACTTTATTAGCTTATCCAATTTTTCATGTGAAACTTCTTCATATTTATGATGTGTAATAGAATAATATTGATTATAACTTTGATTTTGTTCATACGTTAACAATTCTGTAAATAAATTTGGCAAATAGCACGCACGTTTGGCAAATTTCTTAAGATGTGGATCAATATACCACAAAGGTTTTGCTAGTCTTTCAATACATTTTACACCTACTGATAAATGTAATCCACCAGTCCAACCAACTTTTTTATTTTCAAAAAGAATGATTATTTCATTATATAGAAGATCATTTTGTGTAACTTGGGGTTGCTCTTGATTTGGTAATTTTAGTTGTAATGCATTTTGCATTATAAGATCTAATGCATTTCTTCTAGATGCAACTGAATGATTTGCTAATGAACAAATTTTAAACCTTAATTCCGTAAATTTAAATCCTTGAATCATTTCTGTTATAAGATCATCTGAGTTTTTAATATAAACCCATGAAGATTTTTCATCCACCTGGCAATATATTTCAAAATTTTTTTGTCTATATGCATCTAGTGTAATTTTATGAAAAAGGCTCTCAAAATAATAATCATCAACTTTTATAAGATTTAGTTTAACAATATCTTCAACACCTTCTTTGACTGTGACAATTAAACATATGTTTTAAAATGTAAGAAAAAGTTTACTCAACATCACTGTGCAGTATGTGCAATTTTTAATTTTAATATGTGTAAATGTTAAAATTCCGAATGTTTAAATTCTAAAAATGGAAAATTAATAGTACAAATATACCTAAAAATAGAATTTTATATACTGTTGATTTTCTTCTCAAATTCGGCTATTAGATAGGAGAAGTTATGTTAAACAAGGACCCCGCTTACTTCTAATAGAGGTGTCCAAAAATATAAGGTAAAATTTATAATAATTTATTAATATATGTCTCTTAATAGTATAAGGTAAAATCATATATAAATTAAAAAAAGGTTTCTGATATTATAAGGTAAAATTAGAATAGATTACTGGACGTGTAAGGTAAATTTACATACAAAGTTTTCTAGGTTTCTAGTTTCACAAGGTAAGATTAGTGGTCTGATCCTATTTTTAAAGAGTCATCCGGATTCAATCCAAATCTTTACAGCCAATCCGGATGATGATCCGGATCAATGGATTCATCCTTTATTTAGGATCCATCCGAATTAATCCCATCTGATTTTAAGGATTCATCCTTTATTTCGGATCTATTCGGATGTATCCTAATCCGAAATTTAACGGATGATCCGTATAAATGAATTTATTAATTAATTACTTCTATTATATAAAGTTTTCAAGTTTTAAACAAATAAATAATAAAATTGTTAATATTTATAATATAATTGAATTCATTGAATTAAAGAAATAGTAAAATATTTTATTAGACTAACAAGAAAAAATACATTATGAAACTTAATGAAAAATTTATTCTAATTAAATTTCCCGAGTTTCGCCATCCCATTCTTTTGCAAAAACTTCCATTGAACGAATATTTCTTTTTAAAAATAACATTTGTCCTACCAAATTTGTATCCAATTCACTGGTAAAAAAATGGTCTATCCTACACATATCCTACACATATCTTACATATATCGGGTACTCAAAATGTAGAAAATCATACACAAATAATACACATATCATATAC